CTCTCTCTCTCTCTCTCTCTCTCTCTCTCTCTCTCTCTCTCTCTCTCTCTCTCCTGCCTGTTTTGAGCCCCCTGATCCCTTCTTTGAGTACAATACGTAGAGCACAGCAATGCTCAAATGGAGTCTTTGCTAGCCTTTCAATCCAGCCCATCACTGTGCATCCTGTCTCTCTCTCCTGCCTGTTTTGACCCTTTCAATCCATCCCATCACTGTGCATCCTGTCTCTCTCTCCTGCCTGTTTTGACCCCCCTGATCCCTTCTTTGAGTACGTTACGTAGAGCACAGCAATGCTCAAATCAAGAGTCAAATGGAGTCTTTGCTAGCCTTTCAATCCAGCCCGTAACTGCGCGTCCTGAGCTATGACGATGACTGTGGGTACTACAGGGCCCAGTACAGGCCCTACAGGGCAGTTGTACTGCGAACCTCGTACCTTTATTTATTGGGTCTTTGCTGTCAACAACGTTTCTGTTGTTACTTTCAGTATTCGCAGGTCCAGTATATGCTATGCACTGGTAGAACATTTAATACACGCCACAGTCGCCACTTGATCTCGCAGAAGGACGACGTCCTGTTCTATTTCATCATCTGATCTGGTTATTTGGTCAGGATGGCCACCTCAGAGAGAGATCTATAAAGAAAAACCCATCCCTGTTTGCTAGAACACTGGAACAACTCAGACGTATTTGTACCCATGAAAGTCTAAGAGATCGCCTTTTCACTATATTATGTTCTTTTCCTGAGATCGGTGACTAGCTGATATAACTCTTAGGCAGGTCACATTTGCCGATGTAATTCGCAGACAAGTCACTGGACAGTGTACAGGACCTGGAAAAGAACCTGGCCGTGATTTGGGTCAGGTTCAGGCCTCCCCTGGCCCCTTGTGGCCGAGATTTCCCAGCCACACCCAACATGGCCCCACTGACACAATTCCTCCCACGTCTACACGACCAAACTGATTTTCAAGTTCTGCAGGCTACCAGATTGCAACAACATGTTTTTTCTTTTCTTTTCTTAAAATAAAAACTACACTTAGTAAGCTATACTCTTTTCTCAATTATACCTCCCACAACCTACCTACCTAATCGTTCTTGCATATTCCTTTACACCACCCTCCACCAGCGTCAAAGCACCGCTGGGCAATCCGAGGGATCTAACTTCTAAGACTTTCTTTTCAGTCCACTCTGGATTGATCCTAACCACCGGCAAAGGATGGAAGGGATGAAGCGATAGCCCCTAGAGGGCCCTAGTACCCCCTATCAAACCAACCAAGGGGCTCAGGGGCAAGCCAACTATCTCAGCTCAAGAACCCTCAGGATGCCACAAGAGGCGATGCAGACTTGCGTTTAACTAATTTAAGTTTATTTATCCTTTTATGAAACCTAACTCTAAATTGTATATACCATGCTGTGTTTCCTATAGGTCCAAATGGAAGACGTGGGGAGTTGACCATTGCAAAGTGAAACTCGTTACGATCCTGGCCAATTGCGAAGTGCAAAAACACAAGGAAATACACTGCCGTCCAATTGCAAAAAGAAATTAATGAACTTGAGAGGAGAGAGAGACTAAGGATGAAGAAGAAATAAAAGAAAGAAGATGTACACCAGCAAAAGACCAACAACAACTTGAGAGGAGAGAGAGACAAAGGATGAAGAAGAAATAAAAGAAAGATGTGCATCAGCAAAAGACCAACAACAAACCCCCTCAGCTTTGCTTCGTCAACCGATCTCCTCCTTCTCTTCCTCTCAGACCCTTCTTGTATTCACAAAGAATCATAATGATAATAAGAATAACAATGAATGGCTAAACCAGAACTTATGTCCGAATCCCTCTGCTTCTGCCAGCACAATTTGAGGTCTACCATAGCCATGACCTCCATCCTCCTCCACCTCCGACACATATTGGCTATGGCGGACTACTAGGGGTCCTGCCCCGATGTTCAAAAAAAACCAGAAGCCGCTATGTCCTCTACACTGTATACAGAGTCTACACTTCAGGCGGCCATCCCTGACTCTGCCCTGAAGCCTTCTTGATATAGCCCTACCCCACTTGGGGCCTCCCAGATGCTGCACCTACCAAGAAGATAAAGATAGCCCCCAATTTCCCCAAAATAGCCAGGTAAGTACCTCTGGCTGCTCTCCTCCCTAGTCCCCTTCTTCCTCCTACCAGGCACTGTCCACCATAGCCAAGGTGGAAGCCGTGGCATTCCTCCCCCAGCACTGCACACTAGCACTCTTAGCTCTACCACCAGGCGGTCCAGCAGCATGATGCCCAAACTTGCACGCAGCAAATGAGGATGAGCTAGGCGCTCATCCTGGAGATATAGCGGCCAACCAGCCTCTTGGGCTGTGACTTCCAGGCCATGCGGCCTCCAAGCAACCGGTACCATATCCCTTTCAGACGGAAAATCATTGCAGACCTGAAATCGAGTGCTACAGGCCCTAGACTCTACCTTTCTGACTTTTACCTCAGCCGACCGCTCGCTACTCAACATTACCGCTACTTGAGTGTGCCCTAAGCTGCCCCTTCGGCCACTTGACTGTTTCTACCCGGTGGGCCGCTGCAACCCTGGCCACAGCCAAGTACCGGCCCTGTTGGCCTCCCAAAGAAACGAGTGCGGCACTGCCCTGGTGAGCCACACACACAGTCAGGCAGACGGGCACTCAGAAACTTAAGGCGCTCGCACCAGCAAGCACGTGCACTCACAGACCTAGAAAAGTCACAAACCCCCGGAATCTCAGCAAAGCACACATTCACTCACAGACCTAGAAAACTCAGCAAACCGTGGGAATCTCAGCAAAGCAAACATTCCAGCGGCAAAACCAAGAAATCAGCAGTGTTCTCAGTGGCTGATTTTGCAGGTCCTTACAAACTAGAAAAAACACGGTCGTAGAAATTTCGAACTACAAAATAGTATTAACCTAGTCAACGGTCTATACATACTGTGTTCGTAGTCCATACATAGCATAACCACAGTATATACATTGGGTATAGGCCATACTCTATACAGGGTGTACACATAGTGTGCAGTGTATAGATGTGTAAATGTCATCGGCAGTAGATTCTGTACTGAGTAAATGTCATGGCCAGTAGACTCTGTACTCACTGTACTCACGTTTGTGCATGGGACGCTCTCAATACATAGTACAGGGGCCGAACAGACCATTTGTTCGCAAAAGTTTCAACAACATTGCTTGTGGTGATGCGGCGAAAAACCTCGAATTCTGGGCCTTCCATTAACCGCTAGTGCATCCCCCGCGGCTCATACCAAGACATCAACTGAGAGCAGATGGTAGGAAACAATAGTCATGGTTTCACCTATTCATAGATTTCTGCGTCCTCATGCCCATTTCTGCCCTCTGCTCTCCCCTATTCTCCGTACTTTTCCTTTTCTCCTCAAAATTGTCTCCCCTTGTCTATGCTTAACCTTTACTGGTAGGATGTGCTAGCCTTCGAAGTTCAAAGTTTGAACTCCTTTACTTTCCTGCTCTCCCAGCCCTCCTCGTGATGCTGCCATGACTGCTTTTGCTGCTGCTGCTGCTGCTGCTGCTGCTGCAGCAGCTGCTGCTCCTCTTGCTCTCCTCGTCTACATCATCCCTATCAACCTCTCTCCCTCCTTCTCCTTGTTCTTCTATTACAACTCGCCTGCTCGCCAACTCTCCCTGCAGCCTGCCTCTACTTACGTCTTGCTCTCTTCCCCCCGCCGCCCTGGTTCTCCTGTACTCCTACGTTTCTCCCACCCAACTCCTGCTGCATCTTTCCTTGCTCCTCCTCATGCTGTCGGTCCTTCTCCTCCTCCTTCACCTCCTCTCCTCCTCCTTGCCAACCCCCTCAATGTCCTTGCCATTGCCCCCTTGTCCCCTCTCTGTCGTTCATCTCGCTCGTCCTTAACCATCTCGCCTTCTCTACGCTTCTACGTTGGTTTCCTCTACTCCAACTCTCCGAGCATTCTCTCCTCCCCCTCCTGCTCCTGCTTCCAATTGCTTCTCCCATCCCTGCTCCCATCCTGCTCCCATAACTGCTGCCACGGCTGCTGCCATAGCTGCTTCCGTTGCTTCTCCACTTGCTGCTGTCGTCGCTGCAGCTGCTGCTCGGCTGCAACACCGTATTAACCTTCTCACCTTCTCACCTTTTCACCGCCTCTCCTTCTCTCCTCTCCTCGGGGGTAATTGCAGATATAGCGGCGTTTTGAAGTTTCGCAGCAGAGGTGTTGTACCGTGTACGGGTCCGAAAGATCTGTTATTGGCATGAAAGTGGGACCCCGCCCGCAAATATTTTTGCTGTCAAACTACCGAGACCTGTAAAGCTGCAACGAAAGATAAATATATTTTTTCCAATGAAACTTGGGCTCCGCCAATATTCTTGCTGTGAAACTACCACGATGCGCTATTTTTGAAATGTACCCCCTTCCCTCGACGATATCATGAAGCTGCTTGCCAACGTCATTCTCTTCTGAGGGCATATTACTCAAAGTAGGACTTGAGGGCATATTACTCAAAAAGTAGGACTTCCCAGCCTGAACGCGACCTCTTTTACGAGAGACCTGGCTGCACCTGACCGCAATTACGTCTACAGGTCCGTTGAAGAAACTCCCAGTGCCACTATGCCATTGATTTCAAGGAGTTTCTAACCTTCAGAGATAACTGCAGTGGCGAGTGGGAGCTTGCTTGCATTTCTCATTTCTGGCCATAAACTAAGGGCGACGGCCTTGAGATATTATCATTGAGCTGACCGGCCCCAAGCAATTCATTAGTAGTTGGTTTTACTGGTCAAGTTCCATCATCTGGATTCGAACACAGGCCTGTATTTCAACAGTTCATGCCATTGGGTGTACCCACTGAGCTAGGCTCTTGGGTGGCTTTCAGCTTTAAAGGCCCCAGGGGACAAGTCCCGGACAACACATTTATAAGGCCAGTGGATAAAAGAAAGCCGTTCGACTGGAGTTACTGTAGGCAATTTCAGAGAAAAATCTCAGACATTCCGCTGGGCAAAAGGTCCAAGTTATAGGGTTCGGCCTCCTGACGAGTCGCTGACACTCCGACGAAATAGTCAGTCACAACCCCTCGTTCGTTGTCCTGGTTTCCCTCTCTGCGTACAGTTTACCGGGCAGTTCTATTGTCTGTGTGTGTGTTCGTGTGTGTGTGTGTGTGTGTGTGTGTGTGTGTGTGTGTGTAATTAACGCGGTATAGCGGGAGTAAACTGACCTGGCAAAAGAGAGCGAATCGCAAGGGGTTCTCTGGATGTTCCACTCCAACTGCCTCGCCATAGACCTTTTGACCTGTGATACCCCACACCTGCATGTTGCCGTTCCCCGCCCCGCCGCCCTCGCCCCCCACCCCCACCCCCCCGTCAATTGAAAAGGGATAATTGTGAGAATAACGTGACGAGTCCGATGAGTCGGTGATACAACATGGTACTTAAAAGACAGAAGACAAGGTGATGAGTAGGTGAAAGTCAGCAGTCAGCAACTCAGTTACAGTCCCCCTTCCTTTCTAACTGGAGGTGGCCTTTGCAAATATGAACGCATCTCCGAAAAACAGAAGAACAAAGGAGAAAAAGGTAAAAGAGCCTTTCAAAAACTAAGAACAAGGAACAAGAACGCAAAAGAACATGTAAAAAAAAACACACAACAAAAGAAGACAAACAGCTAAACACCGATGTGATCGATAGATTCACTGCGGGATCCTCTCTTCTGTGAATCTGTCCAGGGGAAGCTTGTCAGTACGAGAGCGTACACGCACAAGTACTTTCCTACATGTACCTGACTGAGTTACGGGCAGAGTTGGAAGTACCTGACCGCAACCACGTCTAGATCACCAGAAAAAAACTCATAATGTGAGATTCAACTTGCTGACGGCCGACAATAAAGATGCTGGATTCTACTGTATATTCATGGACAGCATGAGACTGATTGTCCGCTCCATTCCGAGCAAGGAATCTGCAATTCTGTTCTGCCTGGGGGAGCTATTCTACTGGCAGCCACTTACCTGCTTCCTCTGTTCCATCTCTACTACTTAGAATTTATTCCTTAAAAGGGGAAAGAAGTTTAAGCAGATCTAGGCAAAAAAAAAAAAAACCGGTCGCACACACATATTGCCACGTGCTGAACACCCTTCTCCGAGGAGAGGATGAGGACATTTCAAAAAAAAAAGAAAAAAAAAAGGGAAAGGACATAATAAGTCCTGTCTACGTACACCACTTGGGAAGATTGCTCTGCTTCAACCTTCATCCAATGGGAAGATTGCTCTGCTTCAACCTTCATCCACTGGGAAGATTGCTCTGCTTCGACCACGTGGCGATATTGTTTTGCCTTGGTTTAACCACGTGGCAAGACTGCTTTGCTTCGACATTCAACCACGTGGCATGATTGCCTTGCTTTCATTTGGTTCGAACACGGGCGAGAGATCGCTTTGCTCACGACCACGTGCCAAGATTGCTTTGCCTTGGTTTAACCACGTGGCAAGATTGCTTTGCTTAACCTTCAACCACGTGGCAAGATTGCTTTGGGTTGCCTTGGTTCAACCACGTGGCAAGAGATTGCTTTGCTCTTTACCCACGTGCTGATCGGATAAGGACAAAGGTATTACAGTAATATTTACCTTCTCGAGGAAAAGAGGATGATCAACAAAAACGCGGTCGACACCTCGCTTGCGCGAATGGAAGAAGCGCACCGTTTCCACGACTCCCCCCAAGGTTACCTGCCACATACGGGAAGTCAATCACCCATCGACACGTGTCAATCATTCTTACGCCAACGACAGGGATCGTAGATGTGATTCATTAATACCTTTTTGGTTGATCTCGCCCTAACTTCTTTGGTTGATGTGTCAATCATTCTTACGCCAAAGACATACGTGAAGTCAATCACCCATCGACACGTGTCAATCATTCTTACGCCCACGCAACAACCTTTTTGGTTGATCTCGCCCCAACTTCGCACGAAACTTTTGCAGTTCGATAGAAATGGTACGCGGGCAATGCATGCCATCCGATGTTAGCAGCATTAGAGATAGCAGGCGATCTTCATCATGATCCACCAAAAGCATCACACGCACGATGCAACGATTGTCATCCATGTGGCACGTAAGATATGACACCTCGTTTGACATTTTGTTATTTTGTGTCGTTTTCGACACCTTCAGGGTCTAGTGCCCCCAGTTAGAAGGGGTGTAAGACAATCCCCGTTAAGTGGGTTTGAAGGCAGATGGGCGACTTCGTTTCCACATAATCCCACATTGATTTGATTCATTAGTGGATATAACATGACACGAAAACAAAACAAAACAAATACATATTTGATTCTTATCAAAACAAACTCTCAAAGATTCTTATTAAAAGTAACACTCTCAAAAAAATAAAAATAAAAAAAATCGTCTTACTTCCCAGTGTGAACGCTCCATCTATTGGTGGGGAGCAGCTCCCGCTGGAATCGGGTCCTGCGTCGCATTTACAGTTATCAATCAAACAGGGGGCACTGCTATGGGCGCTGCGCCGTTGCATCGAGATAGACGTGGATAGACAATCCAATGATTGGTCAAGAGCATGGGTGCCATGTGAGCTACATCATGTCATGACGTTGGGGGATCGAATCCAACCACTCCTCAACGTGAAAGAGAGATTTTAAGTCAACCCGACTGGCTAGGACACTGCCTAAAAAAAAAAAAAAAAAAAAAAAGGACACTGCCCACCGTCTTCAGCCGAATGGAACGCCCGGTCATTGTTCCTGTGCTCAGACTGAAAGTTGCCCCAAAATGCAGTTATAACTTATAATCACCGGGCGTTCTATTTCGAGTAATGACGGCGATCATCAGAAGACCATGCATGCGATTGCAGCGATTGGACTGAGCTTATTACACATCAGATTCTAGAGTTCACAGCGGTCGAGAAGAAATCAGGCACGTAAATGAAAAGGGATCCATTGGGGGGAAAAGGGTACCGCTACCCCTATACTACGAGACGAATGTGTGAAATTGTGAATGGAGGCCTAGAGAGTCGGTGGGAGTGGATGGGTGACATGCACCCCTTGCTGTTTGCGATCTTCACAGACTACCATCTTCACCGAAGTAAAACGCCCGGTCATCATCGCTGCATCTAGGCTGAGGTCTACTTCTGTCCAGATGTTCTAGCTTATCAATCAGCGCTCCCATTACGGATGAAGTATCACACAGGGCATACCTCTCAGTCGATACCACAATACCACCCGCCGCGGTTTTCAAACCCCTCGACCTGTCAGTCAGGGACTGTCCCACACCCACACACACAAAGAGAGAGAGAGAGAGAGAGAGAGAGAGAGAGAGAGAGAGAGAGAGAGAGAGAG